TTTCAAACTTAGGCTATCTAATCTACCAAAAAATATAGTTTAAAATTTAAAGGTCTACGAATTCGGATTTAAATATAAGGATTAGAAAATCAGAATTTGTGGCCAAGACTTAATTTCTTAACGGAAATATTCAATATCCTGTTTTACAATATTCAATATCCTGTTTTACAATATTCAATATCCTGTTTTACAATATTCAATATCCTGTTTTACAATATTCAATATCCTGTTTTACAATATTCAATATCTTGTTTTACAATATTCAATATCCTGTTTTACAATGCATGAACCATAAAACTTTTGAATATTATTCTTTTACTTAAGAATTTCACTATTTTTTGGGTTTCACTCTATATTTGTAAAAATTTACATAGAAATAAAACTCCATATGATAAATTGTTATATGGTACATGACATACGTATATATATTTAATGTTATTTGTTATTAATCTGAAATATGAGAAATAAAAATCTAATTATATAATTTGTCTATTCTAAAATCTAAACAATTATAGTTTAACAAGGGATTATACCTTTAGTTTTCAATAATAGAAGAAATTAACATAATTTCGTATATTTTAATTAACAATTTTAGACCTCTTTAAGTTTAAGTATTTCATTTTTAGATTTTAAAAAATTGTTCAACCAAACATTAAAAGATCCATCTTAAAAGTAAAATCTAAAAGCAGGCTTTAGTAAAAGCAAACAGAGTTATAAAAATATTGGAACCCAGTTTAATATAAATTAAGTAGAAAATAGAAACAAAACAAAAAAATACAGATACCGCGAAATGATAATATATATATATATATATATATAATAAGCTCATAAATATTTATTTATACATATTTTAGCTTTAGCTGGCCAATCAGCATGGACCAAACAGGCTGATTTTTTTAGGAAACCCATGAGTAACTTGGCCGGGTAACATATGGGCAAAAAATCGATTTTTTTAAAAAATAGAATATTTAGAGTGTTTTAAAGTTCCACGGGCAACGCTGGACACTTCAGCTACAGGGTGTCCCACATCAAATTAAACCACGTCAATTGGTCTAAATTACGATTTGGGGGACAAATCAGAAAATTAGAAGAATTAATCATTTTGAATAATTTAATAAGGCTAATGCAAATTTTTTTTTGCAGAAAATGCTAGATTTTTCATGAATTATGTGCATATTTTGGCGTTATAGAATGGAGTTAATCTAATATGATATGGGACGCTCTGTAGGTCTATACAAGGTTATAATGCTAAGGAAGTTAATTGCTGTTGCGTATACTCTGCGTACATATTGAAACCAGTTCTCTCTGGGGGGGAATAATTTGTGAACAAGAATGGGCGCATCAGTGTTCGTTTAGTATCCGAGGAGGCTAAACGAATTAAATTTTGCTACTTTTGATAATTCACATATTAGTTTCCTATGACCAGAATATTTTATTTATTTTTTATGTGAAAGATGGATCCCATGTCAGGCTTGGACATCCGTCTTACATTACCGCCCAGAGACAGTACACTGCAGTATAAATGATGCGTGCACCTCAAAAATAACTTTCCTTGGTTCTATATAATAAAGCGCTTTGATCATGTCTATTCATATTTATCTATATATATAATATATGTTAGCTATAGCTGGCCAAACGGCTGGACCAAATTGGCTGATTTTTTAGGAAACATTTTTTGACAATCTTTAAATTTTTCCATACTTTATGAACGAATGAAAATGAGACGTGAAAAATCGAAAAATTGAAAAATCCGGGAAATCGATTTTCGACTTACGCTCAATTAATTGGTTGTAACATAAAAAGTATGAGGCCTAGAAAGAAAAATTTCACATCATGAAATAACTGAAATATAGAGCTTTCGAATGACACCTTGATCGTAAAAATTGAACGAAAATTGTTTCCTCAGTTACTAATACCCCTACTGCACAGTTTTTTTTGAGACACCCTGTATATATATAAAATCTATATATAGACCTCACTGAACATTGGTCTATAAAACATTGTGTATGAGGATGTTTATCTGTTCTTTTTATTGAATAATAAATTGATAATATAATAATTACATATCGTATTTTCAACTTTTTTCAGTTAAAGTATACATTTTAGATAATTAAATATATTTTTCCAAGACAAAATGTTTGATGGGTCTGACCCAATCATCGAATAGATATGATATATATGATAATAATGTTAATGATAATAATAATGTTAATGATAATTATAATATTTACTAGCTAAAGCACCCAGCATTGCCCATGGAATTTAAAATACAATTTAGAAAAAAGTTAGAATTTTGAAGTTTAAAGTTCGAATATTTTTAGCCTATGTTACCCGCAAGCCCCGGTAGCCATGGGTTGTATATTTATAAATATATGAGCAAATCTAGTTTACACGTACAGATTATACGGATAATATAACTACACTACTAATACAGAGCGTCCCATATCATATTAGATTATCTCCAATCTTTAACACCCAAATAAACCCTTAATACTCGAAAAACTTATCATTTTTCGCAAGAAAATCCTTATATAAGCCTTATATTATTTTTCAAAATGATTCATTCTAATTAAATGTTCTAATTAGTCCTGAAAATCGTAATTTAGACCCGGGTTCTCGGTCTAATATGATGTGGGACACCCTGTATAAGCATAGAAAACGGGGCGGAAACGTCATGTGAGGCCTGAGGGTGTCTGTATCAGAAGAGTGTGAGTATAAAGTTTACCGAACCAAAGGCGTGTACTGTAGGTATACTGTAAGTATATATATACAGTACATACGAATCTCTGTATTTGTACAGTCTAGGAGAGTACATTTGTTTATTGTTAATTGTTTACCTAAAAAAAAGTTTAATATACATGTTTTATATTATTTATATATTTAATTAAACACTATAAGCCAAATTGTTCATGCAAAGAATATAATTTAATTAAAGTTTACAATAAACTAGTCGTTATTCAAGCTTAATTATAATTGACAACATTGTTCTGCAATTTCCTTGACTGTCATGTTGTGTGTCTGTACCAAAAGAGTGTGTGTAAGGTTTACCGAACTTGTCTGAAAATCAGTGCGACTGGCTTTCTCATGCCAGACCAGCGCCATTTCCTTTCCCTTTATTCCTATTCCCTGCATGGAAATCGAATCTATAATTGTATGTGAAAATTTCGCATTCCATTTTGTAAAGCGATATTAGGTTTGAATAAAATAAAAATTATTTTAAAATCATGAAAATTAAAGGAGGCATTATTACTAATGTATTTTTCATTAACACAGAAAACATATAGGAACGTTTTAATCACAAATTATCTTCAAATGTTCCATAAAAGAATATCGTCCATATTTGTGGAAAACATTCTGAGATTGATTCTCTAGATCTGAAGAAGGTCTAAGAAGGATATCATAGCAGGTGTTCATTTAGATCTCTTAACCAGAGGATTATATCCAGGGGAATATCTTTGTAGCCTCGTACCTCCTCCAATACAGGTATATCCTTGTAGCCTCGTACCTCCTCCAATACAAGTATATCTTTGTAGCCTCGTACCTCATCCAATACAGGTATATCCTTGTAGCCTCGTACCTCCTCCAATACAGGTATATCTTTGTAGCCTCGTACCTCCTCCAATTTTGAATATTTTAAAACATCTCTAATATTTTTACAAGAAGTGGAGTTATGATTGAAAACATTAAATGTTTTAATCTTCCGTGCAAAACTTTTCTTATCTGAAAGAAAACCTTTTTGTATTCAGCGGCAAATGCTGGTGAACGCTGGGGATGATGAGTTTGAGCAGGAGATCAATATATGGCTGAAAGTAGATTGATTCAGATAGTTTTACATATTTGAATCAACAATAATATTTGAATCAACAATAATATTTGAATCAATAATAATATTTGAATCAAAAATTTGTATATCAAGCATTGGTAAGATTTTGTAAGAAATTCATAGAAAATAAGAAATTCAATATAATGATGAAAACAAAATAATTGATTCTAGCATTCATTTATTGACAAATTTATTTTGAGAAATATGTTCCTAACCATCTCATTAGTTTACTGCATAATTTTACATCATTTTTCGTCGTCGTTATTTGATATTGAAAAAACGATTCTGAAAACGTACCGGCCCAAATTCATGATTGTGAACGTCGAATCTGCGCTCAAACTCAGTAATTATACATCGTGGAAACGTTCTATATGTCTCAAATAAGTCCTAAAGAATTTCTCCACAACACTGCATACTCAGTTTAACTTTATACAATTTGGAAATCTTTGATTTTGCACGGATGGAATTTTTGGAACCAATGCAGGATACTTTTAATTTTTGATAGTCGAAAATTGATCCCTTCAAAATGCTTAAAAATGAGAGAAAAATACAAAATGAAATCTATTTTTATTTTTTAAAACAAGTTTACGTTATACATAACTATTTCAGCAAGAATTTTCATGTATACAGTTTAAATCACAGATATACTATTCATTATTCACTAATTCATTAATTCATTAAGGTACTCTCCAACATAGTGTGAATGTGACAATTACTCGATATACTATTCATTATTCACTAATTCATTAATTCATTAATTCATTAAGGTACTCTCCAACATAGTGTGAATGTGACAATTTCTCGATATACTATTCATTATTCACTAATTCATTAATTCATTAATTCATTAAGGTACTCTCCAACATAGTGTGAATGTGACAATTACTCGATATAAATGTTCATTGTATGATTTGTATATAAACAATTTGTTAACAGAACTTCAACTATATAATTAACAAATAAAATTAAAATTTGTCGTTTTGTCTTTTTTTAGCTAGATCTTAATATTTATCTATAAAACCTTCAGCCTACAGCTTACAATGATAAGAATGAATAAATTGTAAATAAAAATACGGGTGGATCCACAATAATTTGGTAACTATACAGCGACATAGACCTAACAAAATAAGGACATTCCTTTTCATATTTTCCCCTTTGAAGCGGCGTATCAGAATGTTTACTCAGCATTTAATATAAATAAAGAAGCCCCTCTTCTCCCTCTCTCAGGTTCGGTAAACTGCCTCAGATCTAAGCCATGCTGTACCTTTGCCTTCAATTGGTAAACACAGAAAAATAGACAAATAGAAAGATAGATAGATAGCCAGATAGATTGATATAGGATAAGATATATCATGAAGATTGAGAAGATGCTGATCAAGATGATGTTGTCTGACTAGTTAGAAGATGTAGAAGAACATCTTGATCCATATTGTTTAAAGCAGAGAGTTCAATGCCGAGAGCAGAGGCAACACTTCGCATATCCAAACCAAATGATTTTAACAATTCCAGGAAATCCATCTCTTCGCCTGCAAATACGTTGGTATTATTATCATTAATATTATCATTTTAATCATTAACATTACAGTCATTATAACCATTATTATTTATTATTCTTATTATTTTTAGAGTAACTATTATCGTTTTATCATTAAGATCATTCTCATTATTGTTATTATTATTAAAGTTATTATCATCGTTTCTATTAATAATTTTATCATTGTTACCTGTAACTGGATTATGTAGTTTAGGACACGACCTATTACACTGAGGCCAACTGCACTTGTCTACATGCTTCATTTGACATGTTCCCACATCCCTTTTCTGTCTTTCCAACCTTCTTCTTTCTTGTCTTTCTTGTTCTAATTTCTTTTCCATTTCTTCCATCCTTCTCTGCTGCTTTTTTTGTCGCTTCTCTGCTCTTCTTCGAGCTTTTCTTTTCTTCTTCTCAAGTTCTTTTAGCCGTTGTCTTTCTTGTCTTCTCCTTATTCTTCTCTCCTCTTTGGTCAGGTTTTCCATCCCTGCCAACCGAACCTGTCTGTTCCTATTCCTTCTTCTTCTTCTCTGTCTTGTAGAGGTATCTAGACTTCTTACTAGATCTCTGTTACTTCTCGTTCCAACTTCATTTTCCTCAAGAAACTTCTCATTCTCTTCTTTAATACACTTTAGCTGGTTCTCTAGTCCTTCTCCATACCTACACTTCCCTGTGCGCTTTCTCTTGTGCTGTCTTTTCAATGTTCGGTTATCAACAAGTCTATGTCCGTGCCGACCCTTACTTATACGATGACTCATACTATTAGTGTACTTGGGCACAGTAGTATCCTCTCTAGTATTCTGATCTATAGATCTCACTAGATTAGAGTTTAATTTGTACTTGCTCACTCCTGATTCAGGTACAGCTGGGCGTACATAATTGTTATCCCTGTAAGCGTACTTGGATGTTATATAGGAGTCCTCTGTGATCTCCTTCTCCCCAGGAAATCTTTGTTGGACCCAGCATTGGATTGCGTCTGGGAGATTTACTCCTGTCACCTCGACTTTCATCCAATCTGGTTTAGTTATCACGGTGTGAGATATACAGGAGGGGGAGAATACGGCGGAAACATCTTTAAATGTATTCCTCATATTTTTGCCCTAAAATACGCCAATTGAAAAACTATATAATGAATTTCAGAGTTAGAACGATATTTCAAAAATATATTTTACCAAAATTTAGTTTTATATCTTTTATGTTTACGATAGGCATGCTATAAACTCAAATTTCTAATCATTATATACAACCTGTTGTTGTAAACCTTTGAAATTTTAAGCATAGATTATTTGAACAAACAGATTTCACAATTTGAAATTTCAAAGGTCGAAACCATTGGTTGCGAATCTAGGGATTAGAAAATAAGAGTTTGTGGCAAAGACTCAATTCATTCGTAATGAATTTTAGTATACAACGTTTTAATAGATTTGAGTTTAGGTCAAGACAAAAGATGTTTTACTTTGATACAAACTTGAAAATTCTTAGATTAAAAAGAAAAATATTGAAAAATGAAAAAGTTGAGTAAATTGGTGTATTATCCCTGGATGTGAATATAGTTCCATTGCTGTGGGGTGACCGGAGCCCCAACATTATCGACGGTCATCTGGGCTTCATCAAACTGCCATTGGAACACAAAAAGAGGGCCTGAAAAGTTAGCAACTTATTGTCATGTTTTCTTTTTTTAAGGTTTTAACCCTATTTTTAATATTGCTGTGCTAAATGAATTGAGTCTTTGCCACAAACTCTGTCTTTTTATTCCCGCATATTTGCAACCCAATGTAGTAGACCTTAGAAATTTCAAACTATTAATTCTGTTTGTTCCAATAATGTAAGCTTGAAATATCAAAGGTTTAAATCATCAGGCTAAAAAGAAATAGAGATTTAAAAATTTGTGTCTGTGGCAAAGACTCAATTCCATAGGAATTGAGTCTAATTGTGATAAAAATTTTATCATTTAAATTTTATCATAATTCTTTTATTATTGATGACATGAAAGGTACCGCCGCTCAAATTCTTTAAATTCGGCCACAGTAGACGTAATTTTAAGTGACCCTTCCATTTTAGAGTGGCATTTCCGATTTTCAACGGTACCCTCCTTTTGAACACTGAATTTTCTTTCTTTTTCTACGTTACATAAATCCGCAAATCAATTTTAGAAAACCTACAAATGCAATTAATCAATGTTAAGCTATAAACACAAGGATGTGTTGTCTATCTTTGAGGAAACAAAAATTGTGATTTTAGACATGTCACTAAAAAATTTGCCTACAATCCCTGTAACAAATAGTTTGTGTTTTCTTACTTTTTAAAGTTGGATAGATTCTGAATCCATAGAAACATTTCCACTCTTCTCCGGGATACATTTGTTTGCAACCATCCGGTAGTTTAGCTTTCCAGGTAGCTGCTCCTGACCTCAGCGTACTACTAGCAGCTGCTGCTGGTCGGTCAGTCTGTGTATACGGGTCATTGTCTAGAAACCAACCTGAGTCCACTATACCTCTCACCCTCATATTTCCCCCTAGAGTATCCACTAGGTCGGAGACAGGATCCAGGTTTACAAGAACTCCAGTCCCTCCAGCACTACTGCCAGCTAGATACAGCTCCTGTGCTGAACCAAGCTGCTCCCAGGAGAACAGCTCTCGAATCACCTCCTTTACTATCTCTGAACCAAGAAATGAGAATCTTGACTCTGCAGTACGTTTAGCTGCCCCAGACCAGCAATCACTAGAACAATATGGTACTAAAACATGGTTAGCGTCACCAAAATGAGGATTCTCCTCTATATCTGAGGACAGGATACCTCCCACCGTCTTCACCGCCGGCCACCGGTCAGAGGACATTAAAGTTCTTAATCGATGCCATCTGGCCTCGCAACTAGTCTCATCAAAACAAAACCATCCTCCTTCAAGAAAAACAACCCAGCGTGTGCTTCCCCTATTTCTCCGTATATAATATCCAGACGGAGACCCATCGTTACATGTTATATTACGATTGTACAAAAATTTTCTTGTAAGACGATTTTCCGCCTTATCCCCGCGCTGATAAAGCGCAGCGGCAAGGCGCTTGAATGTGTCTGGAGAAAGATGGTCGTCGTCTTCAAATAGGGATTTAGCCTGGACTCCACATACTGCCAGTACCAAGCACAGAAAGTACATCCTGAAATAATTTAGGTTAAAGGAATCTATTTATATATAAAGTTGTTATCTCTGTCGGGGTGTTTGTATGTCCGATCATAACTCATGAACCCATTGACTGATTAGCCTCAAATTTTGATTGGGGAACTCGGGAGAACTACGGGAATGGTCTTAAAAGCACACGTATAAATAACTATGAGTCCCCAGAGCCCAACACTTAAGACAGGGTATCGTTATGAAAACCAGTTTCAAAACCCGGGTTTCACAATTGGGGTTAGGCAGTTTTGTAGATATCAATATTTTTGTTATGAAATATTATTTCATTAAGTTTCTTCATATTCTCCATTTTTTCAAATCTCTTAAATCAAAATATACAAAATGTTAAGAACCCAAAATGAAATGGAAACTGGAGATTCGTTCAACGATACTTTTTTTAATTTCGGGTTCAGGGCAACCCTGGGTTTTTAAGCCATGGTGCAAGATAAAAAATGATGATAATGTTTGTTTTAAAAAATGTGAAATGTCAATAGTTTATGAATTTAAATGAATTTTGTCAATAAACCTTAAAAATGATAAAATGTTATTGTTAACTAAACATAAAAAAGAAACTAAACAAACAATGCGAATAAATATGAATCTAATAAAAAGGAATTTTCTTAATTAAACAAAAAAGATCAATCATTTAAACTTTGTATTTTTACAAAACAAAAACTCTTTTGATAGTTTTATTACAGTTTACTTTTTATATAGATCCAGCATTAATTAGAAAGTTTAGTGAACATTTTATAATTGAAACATTTCAAAATTATTTTTAAGAGTTCTTTAGAATAAAATAAAACGATTTCCGTAAAACTTACTTTTACTTTTTATTGTAAAATTTATTTATGATAATTAATATCATACTTATAATAGAATTTAAAACTTAGTTTTCGGTTTCTTTAAAAAGAATTATTTTGTTTCAATGATCCTTGTTGAAGACTATAGAAGGATATTAAACCGTAAAGATGGGATTAAAACAATTAATCAACAGATTTCTGTTAAACCAAACTGAGACAAGATGTCGTCGTCTGATTAAACTTTAATCTTTTCTACACGGAGGGAGGAGGAATCAATTCCTCAAACCCCGATTTAGGTGAATCCTAAAGTTCATAATTTATGGTTATTAAGGATAGAAAGTTAAACAGATAGATAGTTAAAAAAATGTATACTTCTTCAAGTCAAATGTAAAAAATGTATACTTCTTCAAGTCAAATGTAAAAAATGTATACTTGTTCAAGTCAAAAGTGAAAAAAATGTATACTTGTTCAAAACAAAAGTAAAAAAAGTATACTTGTTAAAGGCAAAAGTAAAAAAAGTATACTTGTTCAAGTCAAAAGTAAAAAAAGTATACTTGTTCAAGTCAAAAGTGAAAAAAATGTGTTCTTCTGCAAGTCAAAAATAAAAAAATGTATTCTTCTTCCAATCAAAAGTAAAAAAATGTATACTTGTTCAAGTCAAATGTAAAAAAATGCATCCTGCTTCAAGTCAAAAGTAAAAAAATGTATTCTTCTTTAAGTCAAAAGTAAAAAAATGTATTCTTCTTTAAGTCAAAAGTAAAAAATATATTCTTCTTCAAGTCAAAAGTAAAAAAAATGTATTCTTCTTCAAGTCAAATGTAAAAAATGTATTCTTCTTCAAGTCAAATGTAAAAAATGTATTCTTCTTCAAGTCAAATGTAAAAAATGCATTCTTCTTCAAGTCAAATGTAAAAAATGTATTCTTCTTTAAGTCAAAAGTAAAAAAATGTATTCTTCTTCAAAACAAAAGTAAAAAAAAAATTAAATAGAAAGATGTTTAGAAACCTAAAAGGCAGAAATATATACAATACAAAAATAAATGAAAATAAATTAAATTTTAAGAGAAGAAAATATAATCAAAGAAAAAATAGTTCTTAAAAAATTAAATGGATTTGAGAAAGGAAAAAAACAGAAATACATAAAAATTTATTTCAAAATCGAAAAGAAAAGCATGAAAATGGAAGAAGGAAGATAGGACCGCCCCCCCCTCCCCCCTGTATAGTACCTAGATATGGGGGGGGGGAGCCCAGGGCGGGGCTCTGACAACACAAAATTGGTCTAATACAGAGATAGAGAGAATCAGGCCTAAAATTAGGCTTAAGCCGACTCAATAATTTACCTAACTTCTCCTTCTATCTTACTGTCTATCTAATATACAGTCTATCTGTCTATAAACCTAGCTTCATATTATTGTTATTAAGCGTACTTTTAAGATAGTCAGAAAAGGAAAAGAATACTTTACAACAAACTAAATTAATATTAATATTCTTTCAGCAAGCAGATTGCAGATTTATAAGGGTTGGATGGATGTTTAAATGGCTGGATGGTTGGATGGTTGGATGGTTGGTTGGTTGGATGGTTGGATGGTTGAATGGTTGGATAGTTGGATGTTGGATGGTTGGATGGTTGGATGGTTGAATGGTTGGATAGTTGGATGGTTGGATGGTTGGATGGTTGGATGGTCGGATAGTTGGATGGTTGGATGGTTGGATGGTTGGAAAGATCTCCCATAAAACATCCAGGAAATCTCTAGAATCTTGAATATTTTTCAAATAATTTTTAAATGTTTGCGTAAATTCAGAATTACGGCGACACCTGTCTCAACCTTTAATACCCAAATTAATACTGTTGGTGATGGGGAGGGGAGGAGGAGAACTAGAAGCCCCCCTCCCCCTCTCTAACTAATTTGCTAATAACCATCTAGCCGAGAACCTATCATTACAACCTTTAATTTACTAACTGGGAAAAACAATATTTTGATGTAATGATAATAGATGAGTTCTCAGCAGCAATATTACGACAGAAAATAGACAAAATTTTTCAGACAAATTAGAATTTAGATTTAAGACAAAAGCCTAAGCTTAAAGAAAATGTAAAAATACAGACAGACAACATATGATACAGAATAGCCATAGTGTAAAGACATTAAACAGCATATGATACAGACAACAGCCATGAAGTGTAAAGACATTAGACAACATATGTATGATTCAGACAACAGCCAAAGTGTAAAGACATTAGACAACATATGATACAGACAATAGCCAAAGTGTCTAGATAGCATATACAGACAATATAAAGTGTTATATATAGTTTCAATGTTTTTGAATTCTGTGTTACAAGACGGATCGTTTGATAGCCGGGCCATGAAGTCATATTTTGACCTAAACAAAAACCGGTTTTCGTCCGCGAAATATTGAAATATTGAGAAAAACGTCTTTTTAAAATTAGTTTTAATGTCCAAATGTTATTCTGGGTGAGGCAAGTGGAGGTTCCGAAATCTACCTCCCTGAGTCCATTGTTATCCAAAGGTTGCAAGATATCACGCAAAAATAGAGGCGAATTTTATTTTAAAAACTAAAGCCAAGAGCTCTGGAGCTATAAAATGTACATTTAGTTAGATAAAATCAAAGACAAGGCGTTGTGACACTTCAAAATCGATCCAGTTTTGAAAATTGCTATCTGGATCTAGCCTTAAACCCTTTTTTAACCATTTCTCCATTAGGTAGTTTTCAAAGACAATTTTTAAGTAATCTCTCAACTTTCAAGTTCAGAAAGGATGATGGGACTCATTTATATTATCAATATTATCTCTTCCATTTACAAAACCTGAGGCCGAATTAATGAATTTAAACCGCGCCGCTGAACCGCCAACAAAGCGGTTCCAATTGAACCGCGGCTCAAATCTCGAAACACTGGAACCAATCATGTTTAAGCCGCGGCTCAAATTCTTTAAATTCGACCTCTGGTTTTAACTTTCCTATACTGACCAAGGAGGAATCCTGTTTTAAACTAGCTACGGGCTCTGTCGTAATTGTAAAGAAACTGAACACATGCCGCAAACTCTAATTTTCCTATATCCATATCTTTGTAACTTGATAGTGTTATATTAAATGTTTATGAAATCAGGTTGCAAATATATAGATACTAGAAAATTAGTCGTCATCTTTATATTGATATAATCGCTGACAACCGTATGTAACTGGATCAGTTTTCTTTTCAAATACTTACGCGTAAAATCCAAACTAGAAGAGCGAATAGGTTAAAAAGTCCTAACAGTAAAATTAAATGATTTAGTAAACTGTACATAATACATACTGTACATTGTTTATAAAACACACTGTACACTGTACATAAAGCCGACTGTACACAAAGTCAACTGTACATTGAACATAATTCACATGCACACTGTACATAATACACACTACTGTACATAATACGCACTGTACATTGTACACAAAACACACTGTACATAAAGCCAACTGTACATTGTACATAAAACACACTGTACATTGTACATATTACACACTGTACACTGTACATAATACACACTGTACACTGTACATAATACACACTGTACACTATACATAATACGCAATGTACATTGTACATAAAACACACTGTTCATAAAGCCAACTGTACATTGTACATAATACACACTGACACTGTACATAAAGCCAACTGTAAATTGTACATAAAACAAACTGTACACTGTACATAAAACATACCGTGTATACAAGCAGTTTAGTAAAGTGTCTCCTATAGTTTACTTAAAACCTGTTTTGGCTTTAATAATATGATGTAAAGGAACCGCGCTGCCTTAATATAAATACTGCCTTTAGTCCAAGCCTAAGATGAAAGAGACCGCCTGACTTTGACTGCCTGCCGCCTTCTAGGCTGTTAGTTCACTTTATTCTGCTCTACGCAGCAAAATAAAATCACGTATAACGATAAATTAGCATTTAAACACATTCAGCTTTTACAGAACTTTACAATTTCTGATAACTTGGCCTTTTTTCTTTTAATAAAAAAAACATGAAATCGAGAAAATTACGATTTTTTGGTTATTTCGGGATGATGTGGGTTGGAGGGGGTGGGGGGTGAGAGGTTAGGATGAGAGGGATGCCCAGTATAGATGAAAGAAGCCGACAAACGTTAAAAACAAGATAAGCGTGAAGATACATTGTTAACCTACAACAAAAATTAAATTTGACATTTTCAAAATTCTTTTGCAGCAACCCCATTTTGAGAGCAGCCCATTTTTCAATTTTTTTTTATGCTTCTTTCTTTATAAATTTCTCAGTAATAAATTAATTAAAAACAGATTAAAGAGTAAAAATTAGCATGCGGATGTATGTTGACAAGGCACAGAATTCAGCACGTTTTAGGTATAAGAATTACTATGATAGCAGTCAAAGGGCGACATATTGTGATTAAAACATTCCAATTTTTAAATGATGGATCACTTAAAGGGACTGTAAAGGAAAAATGAAAGGGGGTATAGACTGAATGCTAATCACTTTAACCCTCGATCGCGACCCATGAAAGTTATATCAGATGTTCCTATCTCGAGAAACTGATTTACAACTTTGTCAAATTTATACAAAAATTAATATGTATACAATTTTGTATAAAAGTAGTGGGTTTAAAAAGATCAAATTCAGCAAATATGCAACCAATCTGAAAACGATGATATCCCAGAAACAGCTAATTGTAACTAAGGTTTACTCCCATTCTAATTTTACATTTGTCATTTCTATTTTTCATAGATTTAATCCATAATATTATTTATACGTCCGTATTGCTTGACCAGAAATTACACCAATGGCAGTGCAATAAAGTGGTCACGTGATACAGGCGGAAACACGTGACCAGTATACTGCTCTGACATTGGTGATAGTTCTGGTCACGTGATTTAAGTTTAAGATTTTCTAAATTTTACATATGAACTTTCGTATAATTTTAACACAGTTTTATATCAATTTCTCGAGACAGGAACATCAGATAAAACTTTCCTGGGTCGCGATCAAGAGCTAAAGTGATTAACTTTCAGCCTATACCCCCTTTCATTTTTCCTTTACAGTCCCTTTAACATTACACCTACAATCCCTTCAAACCAAAACTTTTTGAATTAAAGACAGAGAGTCAATTTTTATGTAATATTTTATTTTTAGTTTGAAGGGTATACAGTAATATCCGTACAGTACAATTCAGTTTAAAGCAGAATCAAAGCATAGTCATAATAAAAGTAAAAGAAATTACAAATGGACGTTATAGATGTAGACAATATGATTGCAGTACAGAAAAAAGTATTATATTTGAATTATTTCCAACCTGGCTTTTGAAGTTTTTAACGCAGAATTATTTTTGTATAAACACGTACACAAAGACTTGCAACTACTAATTAATATACAATCAAAGCCATGCTTGCAACAGATACCTTTAAAGTCTTTACAACGTTAGAACAATAAAACATTTTTATTTGCTCGTAACTGCGCCCCCGCGGTAAAATAGACAAGATCCACTGATTGGTGGTGAAACCACTTTGAAACTTTAAACCCTTCGTCTTTTTAATTGAAATAATTAAATTGTTTTACGCCGCTGCTGGAAACAGTTGAGCAACAATTTCAATAGTTTTCAGATCACGTTTTCACCACAACGGTATATTTCATACCTTTACGTGATCAATATTTTGGAAGATATTGTCGTTTTTCTATCCTAAAAAATGTTAAATTCTTTTCCATTCTTTCTGTGGCAGAAACACTTTTGTTGAGAACCCCAAAATTGAAAATAAGCCATTTTGAGAATTAAAAACATGGATATCTAATTAAATCTTTATCCTACAAGGCTGTTAAGGGTACAATTGTGTATTGAATATACCGCTTTTTAAACTAATATATTTATGCTTACCTCATTTATTTATTAGAATTTGGTAAACTTGACACTACCATTGCTCTCCGTAACATCCTGGCTCCTAACGACCCGGCTATAATGTCCTGGGGTATAAAGTCCAATAAACTACAAATGTTGTCTAGAAAATTATCAAATATTTGAATATTTTCTCCACTCTAAGAATTCACTAATTGTGCTGTATCTGTATCCTGGAGTAAGGTTGGCGGTAAACTAAACTAAACTAAACCCTGGTCCCTGAGTCCTGCTCCGCCCCTAGCTCAGCTTCTAGACCCAACCCTCTCTGTTCTACAGTCCTACCGGAGGAAAGGTTCGGAGAGAAGATTCTTCTCCTACATGTAAACCATGAGAAAAAATTAGGGTGAAAACAATTTTATTTTAGTTTTACATATTTATCTTTAAGATTTATTAACCAGCTGAAGCGGCCAGCGTTGCCAGTGGGCTTTAAAAAAATGATTTAGCCCATATGTTACCTCCGTTATACCTATGTGTTCTCTAAAAACAATTCAGTAAATTTGGTCTTGATCGAAGAGATTAATTGAATAGATATATTTCTATTTGTCTGTTTGTTCTAATGTTCAAAATAAATACGGTAAAACGACCCAGTTTGTGTGGCACCCGACATGGCCTTCAGCCAAAAGGGTTTTTTTTGTCAATTAGCAGTAAATAAATTAGTAAATCACTAAAGTAGATAAAGAGAATGTTGGATTAATAGATTAATAATAGTATGTACAATTAAATAAATAGAAGAAATAAGGATGGATAAATAGACAAAAAGAAGGAGGAATAAATATATCAATAGAAGGATACAGTGATAACCAGAAAACAATGGAAAAAAGCGACAATAAAGCAATACCTTAGTGTATTTGATGTTGTTACAAAGAAAATAGTTTTACTAAACACTTATAAAATCTCTAAATCGGTTAAATGGGTCTGTTTACACTGCACAATTGCTTTGTTTCATGTTAATTGGATTTTTTAAAGCTATAGCTTGAATAGAAAAGTCGTCTTCCTAATTCAGAGTTTTCTGGTTATCACTTGAAATAAATAGATAAATAAAAGTATGGACAAATAGATAAATTAAAGTATGAATAAATAGATAAATTAAAGTATGAATAAATAGATGAATAAAAGTAAGGATAAATAGATAAATAAAAGTATGGATAAATAGATGAATAGATAAATAGATAAATAGATAAATAAATAGATAGATAAATAGATAACTAGATAGATAGAAAAATAGATAGATAGATAAATAGATGAATATATAGATAGATAAATAGATAAATAGATAAATAAATAGATAGATAAATAGATAATTAGATAAATAGATAAATATATAAATAGATAAATAGATAAATAGATAAATATATAGATAGATAGAAAGATAGATAAATAGATAATTAGATAAATAGATAAATAGATAAATAGATAAATAGATAAACGGATGAAAAGGTAAATATATTAATAGAAAAATAGATAAATAAATAAGTAGGTTAATAGATAAATAGAAAAAGAGATTAATAGATAAATATATAAACAGATAAATAGATAAATAGATAAATAAGTAAATAGATAAATAGATAAATAGATAAATAGATAAATAGGTAGATAGATAAGTAGATAAATAGATAAATAGATAGATAGATAAATAGATAAATAGATAAATAGATATATAGATAAATAGATGAATAATTAAATAGATAAATAGATAGATAGATAATCAGGTAAATAGATAAATAGATAAATAGATAAATAGATAAATAGATGAATAGGTTAATATATAAATAGATAAATAGATAAATAAATAAGCAGGTTAATATATAAATAGAAAAAGAGATTAATAGATAAATATGTAAACAGATAAATAGATAAATAGATAAATAGATTAATAGATAAATAGATAAATAGATAAGTAGATAAATAGATAGATAGATAAATAGATAAATAGATAAATAGATAAATAGATNGGGGGGTAGGGGGGGGGGGGATTGTATCAGATTTAAATGAATTAAATTGTAATTATGAAGCACACCACGCATGAGAGAAAAATCAGAGATAATTTTTATTGAAGAAAAAAATCAATTTAAAAATATTTTTGATTGAAATATTGTTTAACATTCGTTTCCCAATTGAAATTCCAAACTTTAGAATTTATACACTTGGGAATCGGTTTAGCATGATTTTAAGCAATAGTATGAGTAAAACAAATTTGCAAATTTGCAAATTAGAAATTCTAAACATTTTATTCTTAATTCTCAATAGCTCTACAATAATATTGAAAATATATGTTAGATTTTAATCTTATTAACAGCTGGCTGAAGTGCGTGGCGTTGCCCGTGGAATTTACAGAAAAGTTTTGAATTTTGAAAAAAATTGAATCTTATAGGAAAATAAAATCTAATTTTGAAAAAAGTTTAATTTTGCTTGTAGGCTGTAATTTGAAAAATTATTGTTAGGAATCAAAACATTATTAATATTAAATCGTCTTGATAGTATTGATATATAATCCCAGACCATTGTTGAAAAGGCATTCTACAAGGTTCCATCAATTCTTGATATTCATTTAATCCCAAATCTACAGCTGTCTAGTTAATTGGAAAATATACAAGGAATATTGAAATATGTAAGAATCAAAGAAAACGGTTTTCCAAATATTATAAACTTACGAAAAAGTATTTATTGAATAATGTGGCTGTTTGCATCGGCCATAAATCAAACAAGGACCTGTCAGACGTATAACTTTATGAAAAAAACTAAAATGTAAACATTTATTTGGGAATAAATGTGAAGTTTTGAATTGCAATAATTTTAAAATTAACTTAATTACATCTTTGAAAACAGCTTAACTACCCACCAAATAAAATGAAATTAACATTTCTCTATTGGACCTGCACATGCTGTAACTACTAGCTCTATCTAAACAAATCAATAATTATTTCTCATATCTTTTTTGTCCAAAATTTATTTCCAGTTCTGGTTTCTCCATTATTTCGTAATGAAAAATGGCATTTAAAAAATGATTTATCTAGAAAAAACATCTGAAAAGAAATCTTAAGGTTTATTAGCCAAACATAAAAACCTGAAAAAAGTTCAGTGCACATACAGTACACAGTATACACAGATCCACTTTGTTAATTTCAACAACATGATTCAAAAATGCTTAATGTTTTTAATGTTTAAATGAAAACTTATTGTGAAAGAACTTTCATAACAATATTGTGGCATTATTTATTTCAGATTAACTGTTTGTTTAGAATTAAGAAAAAGCACGCTCGAGAATAAACACATGAATACTTATAAAATACCCAAAAGAAAAAAACCAGAGTGTAAATATTACAATTTGTAGCTGTGATTATAAACTTTTTTCTAAAACTTTTTGTATGATAAAATTATCTTAAGATATCACAAGATCAGATGAATTACAAGAGGAAGGAGATTTTAAAGTAAAATAAACACCCCTGCCAAAAATATATTGATTTAAGTATGTACATACATTATTACATACATACAGTCATTAGTTATAACCTAACATTTGGTAAGGTTAGATCCTAGATAAAATAGAATAAATAGCTCATGTCGTCTTCACCAATTTGAAAATGGCAATGTATCTTAGGGTCAATATGAAAAAAAATAATTAACAAGATATGGTGCTTTTTATTTTTTATTTTTTTATTTTATATTAAAATATTACTCCAATGGAAATTTTCAGGTTATAAGAAATTTTAGTTATTTACAAGTGTTAGTTTATTTATTTCAGTTTTTGCCATGTTAATGTTCCAAACAATTTTCCCTTTTGATTTTACTTTTCATCTTTCTTTTACAAATATTTTTATCTTGTTTTCTCTCGCCATAAGATTTAAACTTAGAAAAAAATTGGTTTTGGAAATTTAAACAATTAAAGCATTTCTTCACTTATTTTTACAAAAAAAATATTTCAAAATATCAATATAAATAAAAATAAAACTAGACTACACCATCCAAACCCCTCTCACCTCATCCCTAAGAGAAGGATCCCTACAAGATTAGACAATCGTTTTAAAGAGCGCATACAGACAAATATTTTGGGCTATTTCAACATATTTTCCTGTTGCATAATTTTCTGCAATTTCAAACTTTAAAAAGTTTAACTTCGTAATGATATTTATTAGCTCTAGAGGAACTCACTCTGAAAATATTGATAATAAACCTGAATTCAGTTGTAAAATGTACTTAAGGTTCTCTTATAAATGCATTTACTTATGAATTAATAATAAGAGTAAAGAAAAAAAAAAGATTTTGGGTGAAGGTTTTAAGCAAAAACCATTGTTTTAAGAAATTGGTTTAGAGTAAAGGGTGAGGATTGGTTTAAAACCAAAGAGAATAGAATATATATTAGAGGGGAATTTACTAGAAAAAGTGTAAAACGGCCATTTTGTTGTACTGTTTCCATACTGCAGGTGTATTTCACATATTTGTGCTATATAACCTTTTGGGCACTGGAATATCAATTTATAGAAAATCTAAAATTAATATTAAAAGAAAACCAAATTATGAAATAGGCTGGTTTCATAATTGACCAATGATCATTTCACATAGACTCTATGCATTTCACTTTACAAACGATGATTTTCCGTTTTATCTATAAATCAAATGATGTTTTTTATTGACCTAATTTATTATAAAGTTTATTTAACAGCTTTAAAAAATTGAAATGGATAGTCTAGGGAACAACCTGTATTAATGTACTCTACTGCATGTAATTTGTGAACATTTACATGATTTGTACACTTTGAACTCCCTTTCAGGCTGAAAGGGACTGAAAAAAATTCATACCGAGAGATTCTCTAAATTCCCCTCTAATATATATATTCTATTCCCTTTGTTTAAAACTAAGTAACATGAATAGTCCTAAGTTAAGGGTGATAATGGTATAAAAAAGCTACTGGACATGTTCCTGGTTACTTCAAGCAGATCCACCCTAAAAAAGAGAAATTAAAATATCACAATTCATCTACATCTAAAAACTCATTCTTAACAGTGGCTTATCTTTTTTTTTAACTGTAAAATAAAAGTTCTTAAATTAAATAAAAACCATGTTTTAATAATAGTTTCTTGTAAATGAAAAAAAATCACATTTGAAATAAATATGTATGGATTATATTAATGAAGATGATATTTGAAAGATGATATGATTGTCAAGATCTTGGTTACCAATGTCTGTATTGGAACAACCTATAGCCAGGGTTACAAAAC